TGTGTGTGTGTGTGTGTGTGTGTGTGTGTGTGTGTGTGTGTGTGTTTTTGTGTATGTGTGTGTGCTTTGCCTGATGGGAATCTCGCTCCTGTGAGCTGGCTCTAAGTGGGGTGGCACAGCCTTACAGAGAAAGCAGATGACCTTTTGTTGGACGTAGGATGGGAGAATTGGGCCTGGAAGGAAGCTTAGAGGTCATTGAGACAGGGAGTGACTGCCCAGTAAGTGACAGAGCCAGGATTAGAACCCGGGGCCTCTGACCCCAACGTCTCTGCCTGCCAGCAGCCTCCGAAGCCCCTTCCAGTGCCAGGGCCCTGTTCTGTCTCACCCTGGGCTTCCTTGCTCTGTTCCTTGCTCTGCATGTTCCATGCTCTGCACTTTCCTCGGGGGCCAGGGGCCAGGGAGGGGGCTTGTCCGTTGTTCACCTCCCCCCTCACCTCTGGGGACAGGAGCAGGTGCTGCTGGCTTCTCTTCTGACCCCTCGGGAGAAGGGTGGCAGCTGCCAGCTCTTCATCTAGCCCAGGGAAGCCTCGGTGTGCTCATCAGTGAAAGTAGGGACAGTCACAATGTAGCCGCAAGGCCTGGGTTCTGGTCTTGGCTTGGCCGCTGTCTCACTGTGTCCCGACTGTCCTTAGAGGGTCATGCCTCACCTTTCTCTAGAGCTGGCATCATCAAGGCCAGCCTGTCCATTTTATGGATGGCAGGGTCTGCAGTGGGATTTGAACCTCCTAGACCATCAGCGGTGCTGCCTGTGTTCCAGGCCCTTGGGCCTCTCTTGGCTGTCCCCTTCATGCTGGCTTTTCTGTCTCCCCTGGTCCTCATGTGTCTTGCTGTGACAGCCTGGCCCAGTTGCTGCCATTATCGATGAAACTCTGGGGTTATACAATCAATCAGAGCCGCGTCTTCCACCCCTGGGCTCCCTCTCCTGCTGGCCCGTGTCTAAGCCTTGCGTGGGAGTGATGGATGGAGAGGTGGAGGTGTGCAAGCAGGAGAGTGGCTGGTCTGGTGAGGGCTGGGGAGCACACTTAGTAGAGCTGGTCTGGTGAGGGCTGGGGAGCAGACTTAGTAGGGCTGGTCTGGTGAGGGCTGGGGAGCACACTTAGGGCTGGTCTGATGAGGGCTGGGGAGCACACTTAGGGCTGATCTGGTGAGGGCTGGGGAACAGACTTAGTAGGGCTGGTCTGGTGAGGGCTGGGGAGCAGACTTAGTAGGGCTGGTCTGATGAGGGCTGGGGAGCAGACTTAGTAGGGCTGGTCTGGTGAGGGCTGGGGAGCACACTTAGGGCTGGTCTGATGAGGGCTGGGGA